TTGGAAAGTTTTAGGATTGGGCCCCCATGATTAACTCCTGGTAGCTTTATATATAGAGAAAAACAAAAACAGAGACATATGTGGACACAGACAAGCATGCTTGTTCTGTCTCACCATGCAATGGCCTGAGCCACCTTTGAACTACAGAGAGCCCCTACAACAGGATATAGATAGATATATTGTAGACAGATAAATAGTTAGTGGAGAGAGAGTAAGGGGGAGATAGATAATAGATGGGTAAAGATAAATATATATAAGACACATAATAGGTAGATAAATGATAGATATAGATAGATAGATAGATAGATAGATAGATAGATAGATAGATAGATAGATAGATAGATAGATAGATAGATAGATAGATAGATAGATAGATAGATAGATAGATAGATAGATAGATAGATAGATAGATAGATAGATAGATAGATAGATAGATAGATAGATAGAGATAATAGATAGGATAGGTAGAGGTATAGATGGAGACAGTGATATACACTAGTAATCCAATCTCTGAAATGAGAATAACCCCTCTGATTTATTGCTTCTCCCTGAACACTCAGTGTGATGAAACCAGCCCAGGCATAGCAATGCATGCCTCACTTCAACATGAATTTTAAAAAGTTTTCTTAGCAAATTCACTCTTTCTGGGATACATTCCTACTTGTAAGGTGTTTGGAATTCAGCACAAATGCAAAGGTATTTTTTGAAAACTATGCTTACATATCAACATAGTATTTTTATTGTATTCAATTGAAAAATTGTTGTACTTATATTTTCTAACATGGGAAAATGAATTTGTATAGAGGGGGCTGGCAGGTGATATGGTGGTTAAAGGTGCTGGACTCCTACACGGCCAACCACAGTTCAAGTCCTAGACCTGATGTCTTTCTCTCTCTCTCTCTCTCTCTCTCTCCCTGGTCATATTAAAAATAATAATAATAATAAAGTTAAATAAAATAATTCTTTAAAATAAATAAATTTGTACAGTAAGTAGCCTTAATTAGCACCTGAAAGGCCAATGATTTGAATTATTTCTTGTTTTTCTGAGGAGGTAACCTCTGCCACGATTACCTGAAATATTCGTCTTCCAGAGGGGAGGTTAGAACATGTTACCAAAGAGATGTCTCTGTTTATCTCAGTAATATGGACTTAAATTCACATAAAAACTAGAGCATGAATGTGTTCAGCAGCTTTCTTAATTAAAAATGGAGAACAGATGAATGGGTTGCCAGGACTAAAAAGGGAATAGGAGCAGAAGAGAGATTGATGTGACTATAAAAGCACAACATAAGAGATCCTCATGGGATGGAAATTTTCTGCATTTTGACTGCACCTCTGTCAGTAACCTGGATGTGATGTTGTCCTCTAGTTTTCCAAGATGCAATTGGGAGAAACCGGTGAAGGAGACACCACAGGATCGCTGTATTATTTCTTACCATCATATGTGAATCTACAATTATCTCAAAAATTAGAAATCAATTTTAAAAACTGAAAAATAAAGAAGGGATGCCTCAGACTTGGAAGATAGGATTATGTGGCATGTGGATTTGGGAGTGCTCAAAGAGAGATCTACCTATCAAAGGCCACCTCTGTGATTCTGCCTCAGGCAGCAAAGACAAAAGGCTTGCTCCACCTTGAGAGGAGGCAGCCACAGTGCAAGAAATAAAAGAGGGTGAGAAATAGGGAATCAAGGATGGGAAAAAAAGGTAAAATATATAGGAAACAAGAAATGGAAAATTATTTGTTGACAATAACACATATGTTGATGTGCTTGATTGAGCCAATATACAGTATATTCTGAATGGAAAAACCTCATTTTGTATGTTGTAATGATGTATAGTGAATGAATGTAAATAAATAAATTTTTTTAAAAAGGAAATAAAAGTTCACTATATTCAGGGCTAGCAGATGGCATAGCGGTTATGTTGCTGAACTTCCAAATAACTGACCACTGTTCAAGTTCCAGACCTGGTGTCTTGAAACTCAGGCTGAACATGTGTGTGTGCATGCCCAAGATCCCAGGAGGACAATGGAGGAGAAGAGATTGCTGCATGGCCATCCCCTAGGAGAGCGATTTCTCACTTTCCCCTCTCACTGTCTCTGTCTCTTTCTCTCTCTGACAAGCACATACACCCCAAGGTAAAAAACTTTTAAAAAAAAAACTCAGTTTTCAACCCTAGGGAATAGTGGGAAAGAGACAGGCAAAGAAGGCAGAGAGTGTTGAGGCTGGCATGGTCCTGAATGATGTTATGATTTATGGTAGAGAGAGACAATGGGAATGACTGCACAAGGGGTCTCTTGCCCTTGCTCCGCTTTGAAGTTCTGGAAGATACCACCACCCCAAGCAGAGTGATAGCAGCTTTATTAATGTTACTATTATTTTAAGTTTACTTATATATGCCTTCCATGAAGAGAGACAGTGACAGAAGAAAATAGCATCTTAATAAGGTACCAATGTACTCAGGAAGGTCTTCAAACTTGAACTGTGACCCCTCCCATGTGAGATTGCCTTCCAAAGTGTCACATTTTACTAATGCACCCTTGTCTGCCACCCACCCCTACCCATATCAGCTATGTGAGGCTCAGTTTCATCATCTGAGGTTTTCTTAATAAGCTACCTCCTATGCTTGAGTTTGACCTACTCTAAGATGTGAACAGAGAATTTCAGCATGAAATATAGCTACCAGGAATTTAGGTGGGTCAGCA